ATCCACGATTCTTTATTTTACAAACACATTCTTTGAGAGTAAATGACAAATGACGTCTGTTGACCTGGTGTATGACCTTGACGCTTATAATGATCCGCCACCTAGGGTAGGCGCTCGTGGGATAGCTTTGAGTTGATAGCCCCCACAGTAATACCCCAAGTAGTCTGTTGAAGTTTCATACATGAATCATCGGATGGGTACGTATATCCTTGTTCCTTTAATCTCAAAGTAAACTTCGAATAGTTTTACTAAGACACACGTTTAAACAAAAGGGTTAACAGCTATTTTAGCTAGACTTGCTCTTGCAGATAATTAAATATCTCGGAAGATGTTTTATTTGTAAGAGAATATGAGCTTAAAAAAATCGCGTATATAATTTTCTGCACAGAGTTCATTTCTGTGAAAAAAGAAATAGAAGTAATGGACAGTATTTTTATGACCCCGTAATCGAAGATTCGGGGGCATATAGTTTTTGCCCTTTCCGTCCGTCTGTCTGTCTGTTTGTCCGCAGAGGATCTTGCTCATAACTTTCGATTGGTTGGAGCTATGGCTTTCATATTTCACACATGCATTCCTTGTGACAAGGCATTTCTTTGGGTACCGATATATTTGACCTTTTGACCTTGGAGTTTGACCCACTTTTGCAAAATTTTACCAAACTTTAACCTTGGCCGTAACTTTTGAACAATTTGTGCAAGTTATATTTCACATTTATATTCCTTGTGGCAATACCTTCCTTTGTATACCAACAATTTTGTCCTTTTGACCTTGACTTTGTAGTTTGACCTACTTTTGGAAAACTTTAACCTTGGCCGTTACTTTTGAACAGTTGGTGCTAGAGCGTCTGCTCTAGAGTCGCGGTGTAAGGAGTTGATCCTTACGTCGCGGGTTCGAATCCCACTGTGGGACGTGGAGACCGGTCCTCGGATGAGACCGTATAAACCGAGGTCCCGTGTCGCAGTAGGTGCTGGCACGATAAAAATCCCTCACTGATCAATGGCCGTAAGTGCCGAGTATTGTACAAAATTTGCAGCTCTCCACCGGCAAGTGGTGGCGTCTCCATATGAGTGAAAATTCTCGAGAGGGACGTTAAACAACATACAAACAAACAAACATATTTCACATGTGTATTTCTTGTGACAAGATTTCCCATTGGGTACCAACAATTTTTGACCCTCGAGTTTGACCTACTTTTGAAAAACGTTAACCTTGGCCATAACTTTTTGAACAATTAGTTCAAGAGCTTTTATATTTCATATGTATATTCCTTGTAGCAAGACCTTCCTTTGGGTACCAACAATTTTGATTAATTTTGACCTTGACCTTGGGGTTTGACCAACTTTATGAAAACTTAAACCTTGATCATAATTTTTGAACAGTTGCCGCCAAGGCTTTCATATTTCACGTTTATTTCTTGTAGTAAGTCCTTCCCTAAGGTACCAATAGTTTTGATTTTGATTTTTTTTTGTCCTTGACCTTGGAGTTTGACATACTTTTGAATGATTGACGCTAGGGCTTTCATATTTCACATGTATATTCCTTGCGACAAGATCTTTCTGTGTGCACCATTAATTTTGATCTTTGACCTTGGAGTTTGACCTATTTTGAAAAACTTTAACCTTGGCCATAACTTATTAATGGATGGTGCTAGGGCTTTCATCTTTCACAGGTGTATTCCTTGTGACAAGACCTTTAAATTTCTTTGGGTTCCAACATTTTTGATCTGTTGACCTTGGAGTTTGATTTGCATTTGAGAAACTAACCCTCGCCATGGAATGCTGTATGGTGGCATCAGTGTTTCACAATCTTCTTTTTTTTTCATTGATCAAATCTATTGTACAATCATGATAATGTTGTGCTGAAAAAAAATCTTGCAGGTCATATATCCATTTAAAATTTGTTTATGATACTAAAACAAAGCAATATTCTACAGTCTTGGAGTTCTTTTAAATGATTATCAGAACAACAGAGTAATTCTTAATACACGAGTAGAATAAAACAAGAGAGGGTGATTTACAAGTAGTGATAGAGGTATGTTCCCAAATTAACAGAACATCTGCTTAATGCAAAAGTGAAAACAGATTGATTTTACTAACCCTTAATATGACAAAGCCTTAAATAGAAAGCAGAATATATTTTAATTGATACCTTTTCGAAATTTTTAATCTAAGAGTAACAAAGAAGTGTTGACACTGAGATTAATCTAAATATTTACAGGTGCTTTTAAGCAATTCAGTCCTCATAGCAATCCCATTTGATCCAAATGATGACAAAATATTGGAAATTTTAATTCCGCCAATATTGAAACTACACCAGCTAGGTTTTTCTGATAGACCTCCAAGACGTTTGTCTTCCAGGGCGAATTTAAGTGGGGATCAAGTTAACTAAGCATAGAGGATATATATGTTTTAGACTTGTTTTTGAATATTTTTGTCTTTGTTCTCCTATGGTTTTACTGAAAATCAAATTTAAGTTACATAATAAAATAACTGTATTTGTCTCTTGTGTTGTTTTATAAATTCTTAGCAGTCTCTAGTGCTCGCATTATGAACATATATATACATGTAAGTGTACATAACGAAACAGAAATGTAAAAGAAATACGTGTTTTTTTTTCGCTTTTGTACATTTTGTTTGTAATATACTTTCAATTTAATCCAGAGGCACGTAGTATCAAGGGTGATTAAAAAAAATTCTGTCGAAAAAGTGTGAGGTTTTTTCTTACGAAAAAAATCTGCAACGCCAATCCCATTTATTCTTTATATAAGGCCAAACAAAAAAAATATGTGTGGTTCCGGTTACACTTCCAAAAAAATTTGGGTAGGTAGGTAGGGAATTTTTTTTTTTTTTTTTTTTAACAAAATGATTTTCTTAATTTTTTTTAAATAATAGCCTACCTAACACTGCTTTGCAAGTGGCATTTAGATGTGATGTGATAATATACTAGTCAATATTGGTAGGGGACACCTACATGCTAGCTCGCTTTGGACTTAATACTATTAAACACTTGCACTATGTTTTGCAAGGAGGCCGTCATTGCTGAAACTAAAACTTAAACCGGAGCCATTGATGGAAATCGGGGAAAATTCCAGAAAAAATATGAAAATTGCCCAAAAAAAGTTTAGGGTCGGGAGGTATAAAATAGGGAAGGTCGGGTAACCGGAACCACACATATTTTTTTATTTGGCCTAAGTATGAATTGAAACATACTATAAAAAAAGCAATGGCTGACGACTAAAGATTTCCAAGTGTTGAGTATATCAAAAGCTACACTATGCCTAAAACATTTTACTTTTATTAATCTGAACTCGCCCTTATCTGGAAATTGTTCAGCTTCCATTAAAGCCGTCACAATTAACAGCTTCACAGGCTTAATTGACGCTTAAGCGATTATTTGCCTACTCAATGTAATTAGAGTTGTTGATTAGCAAAATAAAAATCACCAAAAGGTCCATGTAATCTGCATCTGGTTAAAGTAAGATGAAATCCACTACCTTCCTCGTGTCGTAATCATGTGATAACAAACCCGATGTAAATAAAATTCTGTACTGAATACTCACAAATGGGGGGATCCTTCCCTTCCGCTGATACGAACAAAGGGCATTAGATGTCACCATTAAAACAAATTTATTGGTTTATAAATGATAATCTGCGATCTTGAGTTTAAGCTACTTGATTTGTTCACATTTTGAAAACGGGAAATTTTGAAAATAAAACAATAAACATTTTAATACATAAAGGTTTTTAATCACTTGACTCGATTAAAGAAAATTTTACATAGCATCACATAGATGATTGAATTAGAGTTGAAAATAAAGTTCTGAGGTTTGTATTATCAAATTCAGAAGTACGTCTAAAATTTATAAATTGATTTATTCATTTCATTCAAAGATAATCAACTTCAAAGTAAATCAAAATAATGCCCTATATAGATTAATATGTAGCTATAGGATCATGTTTGACACAAAAAAAATCTAAATATCATGACTGAATTTTCATGACTTCTGCAATTTATTAATTTATAAGATATGAAAATAATAGGACTTTGGCACATTAAGTTCGGTCCGTATTACATAATACCTTGGCTCTAATGTGTGCTCTTACAGATAAATACTTAAAATAAAAGCGACAAGTGCCTGTTATAGAATCACTACAGTTCTTATCTGATTCCACGGACCTCTCTCTGATCCTGCATGTCTGAGAGTTCGGAATTCGTCGGGAAAGGTTCGGGACCCCGAGCTGACCTCCCACTTATTTGATGATAATCTTTTGACATTGAAACACGGCACTCGCCATTTGGAATTGACTCGTTTATACGTCTATCAAAGTGACATGTGTACTGACAACCCCTTATAGTATCTTCACCCAAAGAGAAAACCTGATAACCATCATAGTTTTATTTTTCGAAGAAGTTTTTAAAACAGGAAAAGCGACGGCCGCTAATTTGTCCAAACAACACTTAGAGAAATGGGATTGAAAGTTTGTCGAGATATCTTCATTATTGCAAGTTAGAAATATACACAGAGAAATTCTGTAAATTGTTTCCAAGATAAATTGTTTATATCACATGCTGCGCCTGTTGTCGAACAATCTCTACAAATTGTAAACAAATTAACCCTGAAGGATTAGGACTTTAATCAACACTTATTAATCCATTACAAATTGTTCTTGTAAATTATACCCTCACTTTATTAAAAACCTGCTTGTCTGTTTTCCGACTTTCATCCCACGATCATCAAATGATTTATATTTATTTTAGTTTTCCACCAGAAGGGAAATGTTGAACATTTGTGATCCCTAACCGTCTGCGAAGGAGAAAAGGCATATAATCTTGACGTTTTGAAACTTTTTCACCCTTCTGGATTTCGATTACATTCCATCTTATCTCTAACGTTATATAAATCCCTTTTAGTGGATCGTGGAGCCAATCAGAAAACAGATAAAGCGAGGGGGCGCGGTCATGGCTATTTCTGAAAATAAATATGCAAAACACAATTTACTTCTAAAGTACCTTGGAACAATATTAGAAAATTAACAGACTTAGTGTAAATTTTTGCTGTGGTTCAAATTCATTCTTCTGAAAAATGCAAGGACTTCAAAATACGCCTTTTACGATTGAAAATATTCTAAGTGGAAGTGTATTTTCTAAGCCTAAAAAGAAGGAAGAGAAAAGTGATGAAATGTCCTTCAGCGAAATTTCGGATCTACGCCTGAGTTCTGCGAGTCCTGAGCCTGCAGACTGTGTAGATGTGGAGGGTACGGATTCGGATTCAGAAGTGTCCACAATGTCACACGTTACTTCTGTTTGGACATCAGATGTTGAACTCCCCAGGAAAGTATCTCAAGAGACAGAATCTAACCAAGATGCTTTACAAAACCGTAAGTTACATATCTTACATTCTTAAAAGTAGCTTATTTTCTTCTTTTTCTGTTTTCTTCCTCATAGAATGAACTAGATAATTAGGATTTTTCTTTTCCTTTTTTAGTAAGAAAAATACAAAATGTGAAGATACTTATAATTAAGTTACTGGCAATAACAATTACCACAATCAGAAAACCAATATGTTTATAATTTTAGAAGAGAGTGACAGACTGGACGAAGTACAAATAAAACAGATCCTACCATGTAAACCAAGAAAGAAAAGATCAAGAGCAGCGTTTTCGCATGCGCAAGTTTTCGAGTTGGAGCGGCGTTTTCGGCACCAGCGCTACTTGTCCGGCCCTGAAAGGACCGATTTAGCCAATACCTTGAAACTGACAGAGACACAGATAAAAATATGGTTTCAAAACAGACGTTACAAGACAAAACGGCGACAAATTCAGGAACAAACGTGTATAAACACTGCCAAAAAAGCAGACGTGACATTGCTAATAAAAGACGGGAAGCGGATTTATTCTAACGGAGAAGGTCAAAGGTCAATGATATACCCATCAGTACCAATACCGAGTCATCTAGACTATCGTTATTTTTACTTTGTGCAATGATTATAGTTTTCATTCAGTTACGTATAATTTGTTATATAATTCACGCTTAGTTCCACGTGCTACAGACAGTTGCATTCTTTGCAATTTGTGAAGGGAAACATTAAATTTGTACTAGGATGTTTTGCCCACAAAGTTCGATCGTTAAAGTTCTTCACAATGGAGTACCGACTGGCTCTTTCAATGCAGTTCCGGAAATGAAACACTTACTTTATGGGATAACAGAATAGCCTTCTTAATTCCTTAATAAGTTAAGTGAAATCTCGGAAATTAAGTTAGTACCACACGAAACGACAAAGACTTTTTACACTTTGTCACCTTCATAGTTCTCGATGAAAATGAATTCCTCCTGCTAATTAATAAGAAAATTTTAAAAACATACTCTAGGATTTGCACGCATATCTGAAAGAGAAAAAAATGAGAAGGAGATTATACACCGTAACAGAATATTTCATTGTATTTGAATCATGTGTATCGAACGTGACATTTGTTGTTTGTTTGTTCGTTTGTCTATATTCATTCATTTTGCGAAGTAAGAAACACTAAATAACATTTGATTTGGGCATCTTTATCTGTTCAATGTAAGATTATAATAAATAATTTGTGATACTATTTTTGACACAAGAAATAACCGAATCTCTCTTCAAAAAGGTGATTTCCCTTTTGTTTGGTAAATTGACTCAAAGAAAATTTACATATGTTAAATCATAAAAGTGAATGAAAGATTTATGCTATAACTTGAAATGAGGAAACTTGAAAATATGCGGAAAACACATTGATGCTTTTCTCACCCCACCATTTACAGACACATTTAGCTATATTTCATTGCCACGCCATGTGGTTTCCTATTTATCGTTCCTTAAGAGACTTAGAACGTGTTTGTTTAGCATAATTGAGAATTTTTGCAATAAAAATTTGATTATCTAGTTAAAATTTTCTCATGTAGTATAGTTATAAAGACATGATTGCAATAAATTACAATATTACCGTAAAATGACTTACATGATATATATTTAAACATTAAATATTAAATATATTCTATACAAGAGACATACTTCCGGTAATTTTCTTTTTGGTATCTGCATTTTTTGGTGTTACTGATTAGAAATTATTTTTTTATAGCTTTGTTTGAAAGATGAAAAAAAATTATATACATGTATACCTGAAAAAGAAAGAAAAAAAGTTGGGAAAACTTCTACAAATCTTCAATTTTTACTGTCCTAAATGTTTTGATTATCATCTTAACTGTATCGATTATCGTCCTCATTTTTTTACTTCTATTTTTTGTTGAAAATTAAGCGAAATTCAATGGATGTCAAAACTACAGAGATATTTTACGTTCTTAAATTTTAAAACCATTGCTTTCATTTTCATATTTGCACTCATTAATGAAAAATTTATATTCATTTTTGAAGAGAAACATTAAGAAAAGAAAATAATGACAACAGCAGTAATAATAAAAAAAAAATTCTTCATTCTACATTGAAAATGTTACAATATTTGTTACATTTTGAATGTTACAAATTTATACGCTTATTTCAGCATAGGAAAACTTGTATTTGTAAATATACAATTCAAGATTGTCTGTTATCGGATACACAATTTACGATAATTTTCCTCCAAAAGATATAATACATGTACTATATAAACTTAACTACCCAAAACTTTGTTCGAGGGGCATTTCAGAAAAGCATGTTCTTAATTAGTGTTCCTAGTGCTAAACAAAAGTGAAAGCTACTGATCTTTTAATTTGTATGGGCATATCAGAACTCCGTCATATCTTTTTAACTAACAAAATTTCCCAGGCTTTGTCGTTATGACAATCTTTCTGTGTCATTATAACTTGGGGGAAAATATTGGTAAAGCACTCTATTAGAAACGTTATGAACTATAGTTTATCCTTTATTATGTGGACATGCAATCCGCGATTGGATTTTTAGGATGCTGATAATTTTGTCATTTACAAGGGATTTCAATAATTTCATACTCATAGGCAAGGATTATCCACATTAAGTATAAAAATATATATATAATTATAAGTACTTTTAATTATCATAATCTTTAAATGTTTTTTCTTAATAGGATGCCCAATGTAAAAATTGTATCCTATTTATTGTAATCCTATACATTTTTTTTTATCACGTTGTCAACGCATATGTTACATATACTTGTAACAGAATTCAATGCATTAAGTAGATTTTTAAAGAATGAAAATCGTACGTGATGTTTCCTAGCCATGAAAAAAAAAAGAGTCGAGAATTTTATTTTGTAAGTGTATAGCATACATTATAGTAACTCAAATATGGGAACATGCATTTTTATCTTAAAGGTATCCAATAATGAAAAAATCATGAGAATGTCGCAACATGCTAACATATTTGCTTATCAGAAAGAAGAACATTAAACAAAGAGCAATGTGAAGCCTGATATCAAGCTCCTTCAGATAAGGGTATCCAAAGTCAGTTTGTCAGAAAGAACAAGAGTTCTATATTTCCATAACGTCATTGTCATGCGCTTCAGTTCCCAGCAGTTATCACCTATTAATTATGGATGTTAAACATATTTGCCACAAAGTGGCTCTTTAGAAAGGCACAGCTTGATTGATGGCATGTCGTAAAAATACTTGCTTCTGTAAAGAAGGGTCATTAATGCAAAGGATGATGAAACAAGTTTCAACTCGCAAGAATTTTCAGAAAAATTTCGTTTCCTGGAAACTGCAGCCTGCAGTGATATCTTTTTACCAGCGAGGTACTTTATTTGATATGATTAACAAACAGGGTAGCACATCGAGTATGGTTTTAATATTTACTAACGACGATAAAATTACAGGATAGGATGAACATGTATTTTTGAGTATTATCAAGCACATGACATAAAGATAGGTGAATTTGTATTGTCAGTTACATCGATATTAAATTAAATTTTTAAACTAAACGAACGATGCAAAAACAAAGAAGAATTAAACATTACTGTGATTATATTGATACAAAATGTCCTTAAGTATCAATATCTACTCGCGGGTAATGAACCAGAATTGTGTACGCCTGTTGAATATAGCAAAGGGTTGTATTTTTACATGAAGTATCAGCATACGTTAACTTTTCTTGCAAACTTAAAAATTTCTTATTGATACTGAGGATGAAAAAGGTGAATTAAGATAACGAACAGTGATCGATCTCCAAAAATCAATTCTGTGAAGGGGGCATAAAACACGGACCCCTGGAAATTCCAGAGGTGGGATCAGGTGCCCAGGAATAAATATCATTAATTCTTGTATGAATTCTCATTCAAGTAAGTATTACCATTCAACTGATGGTTTTGTCTTTTATTGTCCTTTAAATTAGCTGCAGTTGTGTACATGTACGTCATTGATACGAAAATCAATTGGACTGAATGATTTTTGGAGATACCTTAATGCAGATTGCAAACATATAAGTCAACTTTCATTCCCCTTGTTATTGACGAATTGAACTCATTACCTCTTAGTGTAAGAAATTCTTCCTCATTGTCTATCTTTAAAAAGTCCATTTCTTTAAACCTATGCCAACCTCTTATTTCAGTTATGGGATTCGACGCTTAAATATATTACATACAAGGCTTCGACACAACTGTGTGCTTAATATAGCGATCTTTTTCGATGTTATGTAATTTAGAGTCCCCTATGTTCTTGTGGAAGAGTGGAGGATACTCATCATCATTTCTTTTCATGCAAAAAATATAACAGAGGCCAGAAAAGAATTTTTTGACTCATTTCTGCGAATGGGAAAATTACATACTGTTGATACTCACACTTTACTGAGGGGAGATGAAACGTTAAACGATGTTGAAAATGAATACCTATTTTTCATTGTACAAACATTTATTAAAATGTCAGGTTGTTTTGGTTGATATTATTACTTTTACGAATTCTATTCAGCTTGTGTGTTATATAAAAAGTATATTAAATTGAATATTGTTCCTCTGATTATTATGTTTTTCTGTGTTTATTTATTTTAAGCTGAAACCCATATATGTAAATATGTTTGGTATAATTTATATGTAGGGAAAGGACGTATTAATTTTTTAGAGCTTTTGCCCAATCCCATTTGTAAAGTTAATAGACAATAAAATACGTTCAAATCAAAGATGCTTAATGGTTTAAAATTTGCTATTAATAAATGCATAATATGAATGTCTAATAAAATGTGACATTTTAATTTTTTAAATTAAATATTATTTATGAATATAAAACACAAAATTTGTAAATATTTTTGTACATATGGATAAAATCTTCATAAAACTAGTTACAACTAGGGAGAATATGTGAGTCAATCATATTTTAAAAAGAAATTGAAATGAAATTGTTTAATTGTTATTTTTTTTCCTATGAAAAAATGGGGAAAAAATCTTATAAAATAAATTGAGAGCTAATATCGGCCTTTTAATGCTGAAACCATAGTTTAAAGGGGATGTCTTAAAGATCTATGAAAAAAAAATTGGTGTGGCATTCCTTCTTAAATTCTTCCTTCAGACTTAGAAATAAATGCTTACTTCAAGTGTTTTACAATTTATAAACTTAATCTCTATAATGTTATGTACAGTACATGTAGATTGAGGAGGGTTCCTATGCACGACAGAGGCGACTTTGGTACAATTTTTTAAGCCCTCAATTTGCTTGACTTTTTTCTTTTTGATTGAATGGCTCTATTACTTACGTGAATGATTTTAATTTTCCCAGAAGTTTTGCTAGGACCTGTAATAAGGTGAACATTTACTCAAATTGCGTTGATAGCCCAACGGTTAATCATTTAACACTGTCCATTCAAAACCGTTTAGTACCTGTAGAAATCTATGGTTAGCAGAGTAGAACCCTGCAACAAGTAAAGATTATACATAGTTTTATTAGTGTTTATTAAGAGTACGTATTTGAACAAACACCAAACGAACGTTTATATGCAATAAGAAAATATGAAATGCCGGGTAATCCGTAGAACAACGAGTGAGTCATGATGCAAGTGCATTTTGGTTACCATTGAAAGTAACGACACGATGTCTGAACAAGATAAAAATTATGAAAATATAGTAAACTGAAAGCATACAAGGGAAAAGGATAGTGAATGTCAAACCCTTATTACATACTAGATCAAATAAAGAATATTTATCTTTTCTCTGCATGTGGATAATTTAGGGCATTAGCCGCACATCTATTTTTCATAACGGTACAACAAAAAATATCCAACTTAGATTTCAAGCTGACATACGTTCCTTGCATGTTAGTAAGCATATAAATATTGTTTTCTGAGTATATAAAATTAAATGCGCAAACAAGCTAATAACGGAATGAACAAACTGTGAACAGGGAAGCAGTATTTTCTGTTGTTTGAAGTTATCGCCCTTATAATTTTAAATTACATTCA